AAAAAGATTAAAAGTTTGAATGGCAGCATCATTGGAATTATATTTACCTCTGCCAAGGAGGTTATGTTTTCACCCCTGTTTGTCTGTCATCAACATAACTCAAAAAGTTACGGACCTATTTTGATGAAATTTACAGGAACTGTCAGAAGTGGGCAAGGAGGACAATGATTAGTTTTTGGTGGTGGTCCGGATCAATAATCAATCAATAATAATCAACAATTGCTGTCTTGGCAGAGGTCTGCGCTCTTGGAGTGCTTTTCTAGTTTTGTTATGTTTTCCTTTTTAATTTTTTCTCAAACACTGGCATTTGTGACTTTTAACTCTCATCTGCCTGAGGCTCTGCACATTTTCTATATTTCCACATAAGCAGTTGTATTGTTTTTTATGTCTTTAAACATTATGTAATATTATTTTATGCACTGTCATCATTTTTCAAATATTGAGACTTTCATCATGAGAATTTGAACTCTCATGGTCCTGAAACTGTAATCTTACTGAAGGGGTGGATTGAGACCATCTTCTGGGTCTTCCGGAAGACGGTCGGGTTATTAAGTTTATATTGACTGGTATCTATTTTTTTCTGTTGGAAGACCATAAAAATGGAGGATGGATCAACATAGATACTTTGGAATACTGTCAGAAAATATCTCTGGGTTCGCTCCTGTTATTGACCATGGTACCTGTTGTGCATGATTAAAATTCAGTGTTGACTGACAGTGCTATTATAAGCATTATTTATTGCATCAAAATTGACAAAATGACCTATTTTGCATCTTTATTTTCTGTTTTTTGTCTGTACATTTGACAGCTTTGCTGCCTTGTTGAAATATATAGTGTAGTAAGGAACATCTAAGATAATGAAGAAATTAAATTAAATCTGATTCAAAAGTCAAATAAACTTGGTTGCTACTAGCATTTGCAAGACAAAATGAATAACCTACCAGATTAATTTTTAAAAAGAAACAAAAAGTGCAATTTTTAAAATCCTTTAGCTATCCAAAAATGACACAAAAATAACATGCTAATGTGTATTTTTTAATAGCACAGAGAATTTAGTTGAAGACTGTTCACAACCAAGTTGATCTGCAGACTAACTGAACTGTGGATCAAATACTTGAAAGCTTGCTATGTAATCCCCTTTTGGATTCCATATTTGAAACGTGTCTCAGTCATTACGCGGACCAGCGCGGTCCAACTTGGTTGTGAAGCTTGAGGCCCTTTACACAAGTATTCATCACACAATAGCCAAACAATGAAGTCGTCAATCTCTCAAGGGAGTGGATCCATTTAGTTAAAGGTTATGCCCAGTGTTAAAAGGGACTAAATATCTTTAACATGACCCCCATTTGTTATGTGCAAAAAGACTTTAATCAAAAAAAAAATATAATAATAATAATAAACTCGGCTTTACCAAGGGACCTTCTATAACACCCTTGTAGTATAGCCAAAAGGAATCGTGGTGCACGTTGATTGCGTTAGAGAAGTAATATTACGTAGTCGGCTTCTCTAACACAATTGATACCCTGAAGAGAAAACCCTGGTGTCGTTAAAGTTTTCAGTTGATTCTACGTCTCTGACACGTTGGACGCATCGTAAATAAAGGTTTTTATTAGTATTACTTCGTTTCAGGGTGTGACGAAAAGAAAAAAGTATAAACAAAAAGCACACATACAGTGAATTAAACATTATTTATTTTATCATGTCCGAGTTATCCCTCAGCCTATTGTTTCTTTGTTTCCACATCAAGTTAAATAAGCAGGATTTAAGAAATAGGTAACGGATTGAAATCTCTGACAATTAATGAGGGTTGCTGTACATGTCCTTGAAAAAGCCATCTGACCACTGGCCTAGATAGAGATCAAGGTCATTTATCTCATAACTTGGCGTGTGGGAACCCTTCCCAGAAAGTTATATAACTTCAAAGGGAGATGACCAGTTGTCAAGGATGACCAGGGAAATGGCCAGTCAGTAAAGTAAAGAGTACAAGTGCCGAGGCATCAGCAAACGCAGGGATGATATTGATAGTTCTGGGGACAAAAGACAGTTTTACTTACATGTAAATAGAACATATTTGAGTCCAAGACAAGTTCATGAATACGATGTTTGACTTGGATTGTGGAAAGGATGATGATTCTTGGTGAAATAATGGGAGTACGACCACGTGGACTTCGAGAAAAGAGTGCGGGGACTTTCCTTCACGTCCTTGGCTTCTCCTCCCGATTCAGCTGAACGCCTACCCTCTACCAGGGACACGGGTTGATTTTTCACTAGATATTCACAGATAATGCCTCTGGCTTAACGATGTTTCTTTTGTGCACTGTGACAGAGGAAATTATCTGCGCGACCCTGGTAGAAGGAAACAGGTATAATGGAATATATGTATTATACTTGGTGAAACACTTAAAAACTTGATATTCAAGGAATGGCAGCGTACCCCTGTACTTGGTTTAAAATAATGACATTGAACATAAAACACAGAGTAGAAGGCGGACATATTCATGAAAGTTTCGATATGCGTCATCTAGAAAACTGTGATTAAAAGATTGTGATTTGTTTACACGTAAGTAAGCTAGTGCAATAACGTAATTTTAATGCAAAAATCATTCTTTTAGCATATTATGCTATACTATCATTTGAGACCTCAAATTCTGTTTGACTTGGATTAATTTGATTAGATGTCTACCATTCAATGATTAAGACATTTTTTCGTTAAATAATGAGATCATTTGTTTCTATGTGTCATTTTGTGAATAAACGTCAGCGAATTTCAACCCTTTTATCATTGTTATCTAGCATGTGCGCGTTGGCAATATTTTAACTGCGATTATAATGCAGATATTGAATTGTCTCAATTATTTTACATTTATTGTTGCATTTATCTTTCAACATTAAAAACATCAAAGAACCTCTCGGTTAATACGCTGTCAACGCCTTGTAAAAATTAAAAAAGAAAGTTCTAACTTAAGTATGGACTAAAAGTGACTTCAAATGTGGAATAAATTTGTCAACTTTATCGATTTCTGCGACATTTTTAAATTTTAACTTAAGCAAGGAGTTATAACAGATATAACTCCTTGACTTAAGCTTCAGTCTATATTAAAATGAAACAAAAACCCGAAAAATTAATATTATCGAATCATTAGTAAAAAAACGCATAGGTTATGTTAGTTGGGTGAATAGAGGCACTGGTATCGTTCTAGACTGGTCTGCTATACCAACAGGTAACAAGGAGTTCCTTTTTGTAAGAAAAAAGTGAACATTCACCCCGTAACTATAAAGAAAAGATCGAAAGTTTAGGGTGGGTGGTTGGGTGAATAGACGAACCGGTAACGTGCCAGACTGGGAATCAGAAGAAGACAGGATCGCATCCCACGTTCATGTGAAAATAATTGTACATTTGACTAAAAGGTTTCCCTTTTAGCGTGCGAAATGCCCTGGGCCGGTAGCTAAGTTGATACGATAGCTAACTCTAAAGTAAAAGAGCAGGAGGTCGAATAGCACTAAACCAGATTATCTTTTTCATCTTTATTAATATTTTACTTGAGCACTGATGAGAAAGTAACAAACAAAACGATGTTCTCATATTTGAAAAGATTTTATTTTAATTCAACGATCAAAATAATATCAAGATATAGAGTAACGTGTCACTTCAAAGTATATACCAGGCGCGAAAAGGAGTAATAATCCAATTAATATTTTTTTCAATGTGGTACAAAACATATGTACATTCATTAAAACTATCAATAATATATTGCACATATTCTGTAGAAACGACCACGGATTGAAAAAACAACAACACATAGTTAGGCGCCATTTTCTTGTTCTTCTGCAATTAATATCCAAATCTTAAGGATGAAAATTTTCGAGATAATTAAAATTCTGTGGTGCAAAACTTTCAGTGATTACTTTAAACTTGATTTTATACGAAGGTTGTGCCCAATTGAAAAAACTGCAAATATTGTTCAATATCCCGGGGTCGTCGTCTATGCATAAGTTACTTTCACGTCTCTCAATGAATGTCATTGAGAGACCATTAAAGGATTACACGGTCTTCCTTTGATGTAGGTCCGCCATATTTAGGCCCCGGCCTTGCTAGACATCGACTCTTCTCGATGTGAATGCTCTCTTAGACCTTTTAGTTCACGAAGTAAATATTTTATATCACAGGTAATGAATCGAAACAACGTATGTTTGGCAGAGACCTACAGATTTTCAAATATAAATTAAAATGTTTTAAAATCTAGCAAACTTCCTCGAATTAGTTGTGGCCGTTTTGTAGGCCTAAATAAAAATCGATAATAAGGACTTTTGTCACTCGAAAGTTTTGATGTTACAAACATACGAACTCCGAAGTCAGTTTAATTCCTACACAAGCAATAAGTAGGCCTACATGTACATGTATATGTGATAGAAGTACAGCGTACCTCTTTTAAATTGTGATTCTAAAATATTAAAAGTATCTAAAATATCTAAAGTAAGACGTGGACTTTTACTACTGTTGCATTCCAGATTAATTTCGTATGCACATTGCTTTCGCATAATAAAATGAGTATTATTAAAACGATTGCTTAATTTGTATTTGGATTTTTGGAGCCTCCGTTGCAAAGAAATCTTCATCTCTTGCCGACCGGGGACTGAAAGTAGATAAAAAATCAAGACCAATAAGAAATGAATTATACGAAAGCTCTAAAGACAATGTAGTAACAAATCTCTTCCATGTATTGTGAATGCCATGTGTTACTGCTTCTGTCTGTAATTTTATTTTCCATTATATTTCAAGTATTACATCAAATATGGTTAAACATTACGAAATACAAAATCAACTGAATATTCGAATTTATCTGTCAGATCAGACAAATGAAATATCAAAAGAGCCTGTTCAGTGTGAGTGATCGCCGAGTGATTACATGTAGATTACTGATTGTGCAGAGAACCTTATACATATGGGTGGAATTCTCCATCTTACTAGAAAGTTTTGCGCCCCATATTTGTCACGGTGATGAGAAAAGCAACATACAATCTGTACTTACAAGTTGTAGTGCCAGGCCAAGCAGGCATCACTGAATATATCGTGTTTGTTTCACGAGAATCAGCACCACATCCCGAAATTTTGTCCACCACATGACTGTCTGAATACTTGTCACTTGAAGTTAGTCTAATTTGAATAACAATGCTTTTTGTAAATTGTAGGTAAAGTGGAACGCAGGCACGATTGTGTTAGAGAAGACCAAGCTGTGAGCTCGACACACTCAATTTTTAGAAAGGCGCTTCACTAAAATATTCAACTTTTCCCTTGTAAAATGTTTTACCCCATCTCATTTCTGTCTCCTTTCTTTTAATTTAGTGCAAAACAGTTGAGATACCATACGCTCGCCTTTCCCTATTTTTGACCATTTTTCTTCAATTAGAAATAAGCCCCATAGCCAGAGCATAGACCCACCAATGACACATACGTCTTAATTTTACCTTTCTTTTTATCATAATAAATATATATGCAGGGCACAGAGACGAAGAAATTATCTTATTTTGGTCACTGTTATTATTATTTTTATTAGGGAATAGGGTAAGAAAAGTGTACCTCTCAAGCTAAGGAATGGGGTTATGTAGTAGTACCCTTCCCTGGTGACTCCAATGTAAAAAAATCAGACCAAAAAACGTCTTTCCAGTTACTTTGAAATTAGAATTTTGACGAGCTGAATCAGATCTAAACTGTACTAAATGGTAATGTTTGCCCTCCAAAATTTTTTGGGGACGAGGGTTGGCTTCGTTATTCCTAACAAAAACTGGGCCCCCCCCTTCAAATAATCCTGGATCCGCCTGAGTATAAACTAATTGATTTCCTCTCTCATTCTTCAAAAATGACATGAACAACTAACCTTCAAAAAGTTTTAATAATCTTTTTAAATGGTACACCATGTTGCACATAATGTAATTCATTAGAGGTAGCATAACATAGTCAAGAGACATGAATAAAAATAAGTTTTTAGTGTCAACCCATGTTCAACACTTCATAGAAGACAAAGGTAAAACAACATATTGTAACATAAATGGAAGATTCTGCCTAGTGAAGAAAATGCCTACAATAAATAAATAAAAATATTATTTATGGTAAACCTGAATAACTGCCCTTTCCCCTAGATACATGAAAAATGAAACAAATATCCAGAATTCTGCTTACAGCTGTCTAAATGGATGCTTAATGATATCTGTCATGTATATCGAAGTCATGGGGATCTTCCAATATTGCCCAGTCTTGCAACTTGGCTCAAAATCAAGGGAGATCTCACAGGATTTGGGAGAGAATGGAGAAAAAAATATAATGACAGACTAACAAATGCAGTGTGAAAATAAATAAAAGCTGACCGACTTTATCCATGGACATGGTTGTTTCTCGCACTCTCTCTAGAATTAATCTATTATTCAACACTACTAATCCACCATGTTTTGTGAACACTACTAATCCACCATGTTTTGTGTATCACTTTTGCATCACTTTCTAAGACGACATTCCCCGTGCATAGTGCCTTATCACTAAATAGTAAACCCCACCATTTTACTCCATCAGATGCCGAGAGCCTCATTCAGGCTCTTGAATTATCCCCATTGATATCCTAAACTAGTCATACCTGAACTACCCAAAATTACCTAAAATTACTATATGACTAGCAACAGCTGGACTTACTACACAATGTTTCTATTACAGTGACAAATTGATGACTGGTAGACGGTCTGGATGCACTGAAGAAGAGTGGCTTGTTGGTTCACCATGTCCCATATCAGGCATGGAAGATAAAGGATGAACAACTATGGAAATCAGGGTACTGCGTATGAATTTAGCACATTCTTTAACCTAGTTCTGTATAGCCTTCAACAGAACTTGTATGTCACTTAGTTATATACACAATTATGTGAAATAGGTGAATAACACAGGATGGAATATTACTTACAATACTTTTTGTACGGTCTATCACAAATTCTTCATAATATATTAAATAGTCATTATTTTGATCAACTTGAATTATTAATTTCTTCAAGCACCTCTTCCATTAAATATGACACATAAAGTGAACAAGAAAAAATGTGTTAAGATAATTAACAACACTCAGACATGGGTTGCTTTAGCACCCTTCCTCAACGAGAATTACAATACAAAAGTCATCTTCTGTATGTTTGTTCCATGCTCATTAATAAATAATTAAATACAGGTAAACTGATGTTGTGCTATTAATAACTTTAACTCATCTCAAAAGTTGCTCAAAGACCATCATGGAGTCTTGTATCCCTGGAAAAATATATTCATTGACATATAAAAGGTGCTGTGACTGAACAAAAAAACTTTAATCCAATAAATTGCAATCATGTGCATAAAGTTACTATTTATACCGTTCTGCTTTAAGAGAATCATTTCATATTCTTACTAGATTCCTAATTTTTACCCACCATACTAGATTCCTAATTTTAACACATTTTTCTAATATAGATGGTGGCAATTCAATACACACCAAGTAACCCATTTCAAAGGTATATACAGAGATTCTTCATGAGGCAAGTACATGGAAATAAATTTCTTTGTACTCTAAATATCTAACACACCCCCAGCAACTTGGTCATTTCTTTCTTTTGCAACACCTCTAAAAGACTTGATCTTTACTTTAAGTTTGATGCTAACAACAATTTTCACTGCTTTGAAATATATTGAAAGGGTACACTAGAAAAAAATGAAAAAGCAGCAACAAATAAGTGAAAAAACTTATCATTTTTGAATGGAGGCCTTAAATAGTTATAATGGCTGTAAGAATGCAGAACTTGAACACAAAAGTGAATTGGACCCATGCGTTAACCTTTGTGATTTAAAAACACACAGTGATTTATTGAAAATAACTATTCACAAGATTCAGTTTTCACACTCAAAATGTATTTGATATCCTAACTAGATCTCAGGATGTTGATTTAGATCACAGAACTGAATGCATGCTTCAAATGTCATTTCTATTCTATTACAGTAGCTACACCCATTCTTTGTTTGGATATTGAGATAAAGACCTAAGGAAAATGTAATGTGAACACACAACCTGACATTTTTGAAAGAGGTGCACTGCCTCCCCCCATCATCTGCCACCTTCAGCACTAAGCTTGGCTTAATCTGCAAACTGCAATAACTGTCAGATCTCTGATCCTAACAACACAAAAAATTAATCCACAATGCAATGGTTGGCACGTATGTGAAAATGCACCAATTGAATCCAAAAGCGACATCAAAGTACATGTAAGTGGGACCCTATATTTGAGCATATGTCATACTGAAAATGCACAGGTACCTGAGGTTAATAAAAAGCAGCACTGCAGAGATGTTACAAAAAAGAGTAAATATATTTAAAATAATTAATAGTGACAGTAACAATTCCATTTTTCTACCTGAAATTTGAAAAATGGGTCAGATTTGAAATCCTCCCCCCCCCCCACCACCTTTATACACAAGCACAAAAACTGAACTATTTAGATCAAGCAAAATCCATTATGGCACTTGTCAGCTAGATCATATTCAAAATTATGCTTCACTGCATATTCAATATATTCAATCAGTCTATCACTTCAGTTTACCATACACAGTATGTAATAAATATTGTACCATTTCTAAAATGATAAAAAAATCACTATTAATTTTGTCACTACTTCCCTCTCCTAGCATACCTTCTCATTCACATGGCTATCATCTACACCATTTGATGTTGAAGAAATGTCAATCTGCACCTGATTATTACTCGTTACAATATTTACATCTCCTACTTGGAGATCTAACTGACTGTCCATTTCCACCTCACTATTTCCATGGTCACCTTCATTAACCGTCTCGTCACTGCCATCCTCCTCCATCTCCTTCCCACTGTCCTCATCAGACGAGTTCTTGGCCTGTGCTGGTATCAACTCTTTATGTACTAACTCCAGCTCGCTCAGTAGAGAGTCACTCAGACCTTCGTTCTCAGAGATAGAGATTTGCCGTATTCGACAGCGTATCACAGGCTCCATGATTTCATGTTCACTCTCTTCAGCGTGTTTCAACACCTTCGCCTCTACGATGATGGCGTCCTTCTCAGGGCTCCCACCCTTCGCCTCCCTCAGTTCATCCTGAGAGTCGTATGAGCTCATGGAGAAGTGTGGTGTCCCTGGAATGCTCTCTGGACTACCTTGCTGGACATATGAGGTGTCGATGTCATCAGTAATACTGGTGTACTCTGCCCTGTGCTGAGACAGGAAGGGGGTGAAGGCTGGAATCATGGTAGTTGGGGCAGGGGTAAAGAAAGTGCCACCGACAGCAGAGTATGGCGAAGAGTATGGCACATAATATTCTGATGCGGGGACACTGGTAGGATATGGCACGCCACTAGCGGGATAACCTGGGATGCTAGTGGAATAAGCTGGGACAGTGATGGGATATGCTGAGGTGTTGGGACCATGTGCTGCACTACTAGATGGAATGGATTGTGGATGTTCCTGTTCATCTCCTTTGGATGGAGCCTTCTTTGGTGAAGAGAATTCACCACTAACACCAAGACCTTGCTGATAAGAAGGAGTCAGGCTGGGTTTCAGTGAAGCTGAAGTGAAAAGAGGGGGCTCTTGAATAGAACCTTGGGTCATTCTGGAGGCATTCCTGACAAATTCTTCCATGGCTGACTGTCTGAGAAGCGCACTGTTATTACTACTATTATCTTCCTTCCTTGCTGAAGACTTTGGGACTGAAATCTTCTGCAGAGCTTTGACATGTCTACGTTGAAGTAAAGAGGTATGTGCATATTTGGGATCAATGGTTGGAGCTTCATGGAAAGAGGATGCAGATTTGTTGTAGTAGGGCCTTGCATATACCACACTGGCTGGAGCACTGGCCTGGCGCCTGAACAAATGTGGTTTTGTCTGGGCTGGGCCCATCATGCTACCACCAAATTTTACACGTCTGCCAAATTTTTTCTTCCCTCTCCCTGTTGCTGCTGCTGCTGTTGTTGTTGTTGTCAAAGTTGCCTCAGATGTTGCCTCGGCAACTGTGCTGGTCACAGGGGCCTTCACAGGGAATGAGACATCAGCACTGGTAGGTGTTTCTGTGCCCTGTGATGAGGTCTCTTCCTCCATGACCTCGGTCATTGGACTTAAGTTACCACCTTCTTGACTCAAAACAGGTGGAGTTATGAGTGACTGAGTACTAGTGGCGACCTCTGCCATCGCACGCTGTAAATTGGCAAGGTTCTGTGCAGTCTCCAGCAGCATTTCCTCCATCTTGGCCATCCTGAAGTCCACAGCCTGGATGGACAATTTTACTGCACTCTCCTTCTGGTTTAAATCATCCAGTCTCAGGGCCATGTTCTCCACCCTGAAATATGGAAATAATTTTTTGTAATTTTGTTCTTCTTCTATTTCTTGTAACTTTGTACAAGATATATGGAAATAATTTTTTGTAATTTTGTTCTTCTTCTATATCTTGTAACTTTGTACAAGCTATCTATGGAGTCAACAACCACTTTGCTTCAATTAGCTTTTCTTTGATTTAACTCTGACATAACAATCAATCAATTTTCTCATTTCAATCTTTTCTTTATTCAGATAATATAAAAATAGGTTCTATAAAAACTTCTAAAGAGACTTACCAGTTACCAATAGAAAATACTTGTCTATTAAAATTTTCACTTACATACATACCTTACATACAGTTTTCACACCTATCTTTATACAGGGCACTAGACAACGTATGCATTTACATAATGTACTTTTTCAGTAGTGCCAAAATTACTGGCTATATTCAAAACCTTAAAAATCCAATAGGTAACCATTGAAAATGCTACTGCCATGATACACTGTACAACACCTGTCATTGGTCACTCTGATCCTCTGCTCTGTGGATGACTGGAGTAAGTTCTCTTTTTGCCTGAACAAATCCTCCACACAATCTTCCTCAAAATCATGGAGAACTTCAACATCTTCCTCATCCAAGAAAAGCTCTGAAGAAAAAACAATTAATTTTCAAGTCATTGAAAATTTGGAGTATTTCGACGGCAAAACTGTTTTCAACAGAATCAGTGCATAGCACAGCATCAGTTATTTCACAATGATACATGTAACTACATGCAGCAGCATATAATAAAAGAATTTCAAAATTGTCTGCAAGAGTTTACTAAGTTTTATAATATATCAAAACATAAATTAATGTTTTTTTTTATTTTAGACAGAACTCTGGGTCACTCTTCTTGATGTCCTTGATTCACAGTGTATCTTAGTATTAAAATACATGCAGACACATAAATATATGTACACACATAATGATCATAGGGTGCTTTCCCAGAGATTTAGATCAATCTAAAGATTAAGTTTTAGATCGACCTAACTCACTGGGGGTTCAGGCTAAATTGCAGTCAGCCGAGCGGACACCAGAGTTAATTACCCTCTTACAGCTTTTAGTAGGCAGGACCGACGCTTAAGCCGGCCAAGCTAACAGGAATCTAGTGAGACTCCCCACAGGGATAGATCGATCTAAAATTCTATGGAAATGGGGTGATAGGTTTTGACTTACTGAGGCCATTGTCATAGATATCCAGCTTTCCCTTGCACCTCCTGATGACATATTTGACAATGAGATATACATGGCTTAAAACAATGAATGGAGGAGGCAGCAAAGGTTTCTGTTCATTCTCTATCACCAGGGTGTAGCGCAGGAATTTCCAGATCTGACGAGAATTGGCATTTACTCGGTTGAATGTTGAACTGAAAATTCATAGAGATAAAGACATCATTCTCTCACCTTTTGCCAGTAATGTATACGTACTTGTTTTTCAGAAAAGTCCTAGATGTTAGTTTAACAGATAATCACTTTCAAGTCATTATGAAGGTTTTCAAACAAGAATTTTGTTCAGTGTACAGCTTAAAACAGCCGAGTTACATTATGTATACAAATCTGCTTTTCTCCCCCTCCCCCCCTTTTTTTTTTTAATATTGCTATGTATACAATTACAAAGAAATTCTGTACGAATAAAATATGCAAACTACAGAAACTAGCTATAAAATGAAAATTGTGAAATGTGCTCAAAATAATTTTTTGTGCATAAAATGCTCACTTTAACTACTGGTAAAATGAGAATTACAGTGTAAATGAGATAAGGCAATTAATACCAAAATCCAATTCAAAATTGCCAGTTAGTATTGAATCAGAAAGCACCACTATAAGTAAAACCATTTTAAGTAGTGTAGGTTGTTAAACTAAGATATTGATGAATTGACCTCATTCTGCTCAAATACCTTACAAGGCACTGGACAGACAAAGCATGCACTTACTTAAATACCGCAATAAGCAGGTTAAGGAGCAGTATATTGGCAACCAGGAGAAAGATGGACATGATAGCTGGGAAGACCCAGTGTCCGTGTATACAGGGTTCCTCATTACTGCCACCGCAATCAGCTGCAACAAACAAAATTAGACCTATGAAATTTATGCAAGACACTATAACTAGAAGTGCTGTTACAGGGAGGGTGGGGGTGGGGGTACTGCAGTGCCATTTATCTATGTCAATACATACTTGAACACAGCAATGAGAAGACTAAGGAGCAGGATATTGGCGACCAAAAGGAAGATGGTCATAACAGCTGGAGTGACCCAGTGTCCGTGGACACAGGGCTCTTCGTGTGGTCCACCACACTTGGCTACAAAGAGAAAGTTGGGTTGAAGACATCTACTGTAGATAGAAAAACACAAATATAAAAAAAATATTATTTTACAAACAGCAGAACTGCAGACTTGTTAATAAATTAAAGTAAAGAATTAAATTATCTGTAGGCCTTAAACTCCATAAAGTTGGTTTAATTCAGAACTATATGTAAACTAGTAGTTCCATGACAGGTTATGATATAATCATTCTGATACATAAAGTGAGTTTTCATGTTCAGGTTTTAAGTTAGCTTCAATCAAATTGCTGTTCATCCTTTAACTATCTAAAATGCTACTGGGAAATACACTACATGTACTTATACTAGAGCAACGAAAAAGAATCATCCAACCTGAACACAGTCACAAGTAAGGAATATGTATTTTAAACATACCAAAAACACTCTCAGATATTAAACGACAAAAGAGAGAAATATATGATTTTGTCAAAATTAGGGTTTGTTGCACATTTTTAAAATTAACTTAACATGTCTGGCCAAATTGTATATCTGAGGACATCTTGAAAGGAAGCTAATAGATCAACTGTAATATTGCAAGAGAGTCATTTATCCTCACAAACTAGGAGGCCCATTATTTTTTTTTACCAAAATAATCCAAATCCTAGAAGCATTCTTTAGCTATATTCCATTTGACTTCATATGTTTCACAGTATCAGAGTACCACTGCTGTAGTGCATAAACACTAATTTTCCAAAATTTCCTTTCAAAAATTTCTATTTTATCAAGACATGACAAAATCATCATTAATGTAAATGGTCATCATCATAATAATTGTATGAATATTGTAAATATGCACAATAAATAAACTTAAGTTACTAAATTCAAAGAATAAACAATGCTAGAAATGACGATTAATACCACATCAAAACTAGTCAGTAGAAAACTTACGATAGAAATGACGATTAATACCACATCAAAACTAGTCAGTAGAAAACTTACGATCAATCTTATCAGCATACACTTCACCATACAACATGAAGTAAGGTTCCAGAAATACTTCCTTAAGAATATTCCAATTTGGTTCCTCGTTGGGAAACTTGATAGCTTGGCGACACACACCAAAGCTCATGAGCACTATCAGCAATATCACAATAAAGTTGATCATGTCCACAACCTGCAAGACAAGTTGACTTCAGTGGAACCTGGGTTTTGTAACCCACTTGTTCATTAAGCAGTGTGTGGCATTCATTTATTTGTAATTTTCCTCATAATTTAAATTCAAATCTTTAAAATGTCTGTAGATCAATCTTGGCTGTACCATCTCAAGTTATCTTAGCTGTATTTGTTGCTTTGACTGGATATAGATCCAAAATGTTTCAAAATCTCAAGTATTGTGAGGAAAGCAAAGTAACGTTACACAATATATGTGATCTGCCATGTTTTTGCCTTGATGTCACCAAGTGTGTGTGTGTGTGTGTGTGTGTGGGGGGGGGGGGGGGGGGGGGGGGGGCCAGTCACTAGGTCAACTAGGACCTGTTGTACAAAAGTGCTAGAGCACTTTTAGACCAAAATATCAGTCTACTTTGATACAAGAAAAAATTGGTAGTACAAACATATGAAATACCTCTCCCACTTTAAAAAAGGAGAGGGCTTATGTTTCAGCTTATGTTAAGTTATTGCGTCTTATTGGAGTATCATGGATGCATCTTGAACTGAAGTAGACCAAATCTTGAGACTACACTATTAAACTTCGTAAAACTGGTCCCTGAAGCTCTTCTGGATGACAATGTTCTATTCAACTAAATTTTTTGAAACCGATTCTTATTTGTAGAACAAATAAAAGAACTTAAGGCTCATTCCCAGTGAAACTTATGATCTAAGATAGTCAATCCAACTCTGTGAGGACTATCAGTGAATGCAATCAGGCTAACTTGGCATAAGGTTGAATAAAGAAAAGCTGGTAATTACACAAGTACAATTAATGTAAGCAAGAGTCCCCCTGGAGTTGGATCCATCTGCATAGATTGATAGTTTTATTGGGAATGGGCCCTTAAATGTGGTGAATAAAACGTAAGTACTCACCATTTTGCCCACCATCATAACATAAGGACCCAAGTGCTTGCTAACACTGAAGATGTCTAGAATTCTTATATACCAAAATATGATGTCCACACTGAACACCACATGGCCATCTTGAATGTAGGATTCCATATTGCGCAGCACAGCACCAATTATATACAGGATGATGGCAATGACATCTAGGATGTTCCAAAAGTCTCCAAAGAAGACTGAAAATTTCTGCAACGCTTTTACTGGCTCCGATGCTATAATCTGACAAATATAAATCAGAACATATGAATCATTTTACAGTATCAAGTATTAAAGCTAATGCTTAAATTGAACTGTTTTGGTTAAAATGAAAAAAAATTAGGTAGAACATTTTTTCCTTTTTTTTTTTAAATTGCAACAGGCTCCTACATTTTCAATATCTTGCTGGAAAAATTATTTTCAAATTTACTCACAGTTCACTAGCTATTTTATGTACTGAAAAAATCATTTATAAATCACCATGATTCAAAACATACCTCTCTTGCTTTATCAATGGCTAAAGTAAAGATGTAAGCCATGACATAAATCTCTACCCACGAAGGCTTTGGTGGAGTTTTAACCAGAACAACATAATTGAATGAAGCTAGGAAAATGACATAGGCCATCTGGAATTAAAAAGCATATGTATCCTAATAACACATACAACAAGGACATCTTTATCCTATGTTCCTTAAGTTATTATGAATGAAAATTGAGTAGATAATATATTGCCTGGAATATTAATATATTCTCAGTGAAATGCAGTGCACTTAACATATGTGACACACACTAGGTAACATGAGCAGCATACTGCTATTCTTCTTCTTCATAAAATTTTGAAATAAGTTTTTTTTTCCTTAGTGACAAAAAAGAGAGATTCTTGACTTACAAACCAAATAATAAGAGTCAATCATGCACAATTTTGATTCACCATCTAGGGTTGTGATTTCCAGCTTGAATGGCTGAAAAACCTTTTTTTTAATTCATACTTCTTTTTCTCTGCTTGCTTACCGTATGCAGCCAAAACTTGGTGATAGGAGCAGCATAAAACTCGTACACTTTCTTCCCCACTCTCAATGGGCTCTTTTTCTTCATGAAATCTGTTACTCTATGGACTGTCAAGGCACTCTGGTCTAACAAAGGACCATTAGAGTTCACAGGGGGGCTGACCGGACTGTTGACAGGGGAGGTAGCCTCTGTGGCATCTGCTGTCCTTTCTGTGTTTTGTCCTTGACTGGCATTGATCATCTGGAATTTTACATTTGTATCTTAAATAATATCAGTTGTATTTCTGTTACTTCCAGAGGCATAAATTTGAAAATCAGAATGAAAAATTAAAACTCCTTGAAGTACTGACTGTCATGTTTACACATGGAATTTCTCAACATGACCCTTTGGCAAAAAGTTTTTTTAATATTCTTTAAAAAAAATCTTGCCAACAAAACATACCAAATAACAGTTACTGGCAAGCATAACTTTTTTTTTAATTTAAGGCAACATGTTTTCAGACTATTCAATAAATAAGTAAAATAAATGAATAAATAAAAACTTTGTCAGCAAAATAACTAAACAACCATTGGTGATGAAGAGTAATTTTCATTTATGGTGAATAAACAATGAATTCAGAATGTATATACTTACTTCCATCTCAATGTCCTGCTCACCATATGATGACCTGCGGCTGACATTGGACTCTGTGTCAGAGTCCTCGATTTCCCCAATGTGCTCCTCCACTGTCTGTGGCATTAATTGCAGCTCCTCCTTACTTTTATACTCCAGGGCAAGCAGAAGAGGGGGAATCAAAATGCCCATCAATACCTGCCAATTAACATAACAAGAAATCAAGAAAATTTGAATTATGATAAAAAAAATTTAATTAAAAAAAGTTGCAGTCTCTTGCAGACAAATTTGTTCAAACATAACATACATGCTCACTGCATCCTGAAATTGGCTTCAATAATATTTTATGCATAAATGTGACAACATTGATATTAAACAAATAATTAATTTTTTTTTACTAAACCAATTTTATACTATTCACAAAATTGATTATTTTCTAGTTTAAATCCGTTTCAATCTCTTTCAGTATCTATATATGCTAAATCATTTTTCATACTATTCTAAACCCCTTTCCATGTAAAAATCAATCTTGATCCTTTTAAAAAAATCAATTTCTATTTTCCAGTCTGCTTCTCTGGGTTATAGTATCACCTTCAACACTGTGTACTTCCTCATATTCAATCCTCCCATCCACATATCAGTGAGCAGCATCTGGCAGCAGGGGTGGGCCAGGAACTCCCTGTGAACGGCTGACACAGCCAGGCTCAGGCAGGTCTGGTTACTCCAGTTCTTCAGTTCGTAAGTCAGTAACTGCTTGGTGGCATCTGCGTCCGTCTTGTAGCACACCTCCAGGAGCTCCATTGTTATGTTCTGAAATTCCCTATAAAATCAAGATAACAGTTTATGAAATAATCATTTACTCGTGCAATGAATAATCTCTGGAAAACAAGCACATAAAAATGAATTCTAATTGCTATATCAGGGGCGGATCCAGAGCTATTTATTGACAGTCTTCCAAATTATCTTTGTTGATTCATCCTCCAATTTTGACCGTAAACTTGAAAATCTGACCGTCTTCCAGAAGACCCAGAAGACGGCCTAAATCCGCCCCTGTATATGATATGTACAAAATAATCAAAACTTAATATAAAAACTATACAACTTAAATCACTTTTTAATTTTAGATCCAAAATTTTCCTAGTTATTAATATTTCAACAAACAAGCCAAAAATTTACAAAGCTGAGTCTGTATCAAAGTAAAGCTTAATGAGCCCCTCATGACATCAAGGTTTAAGAATCTCCTGGCACAATTAAAGCAGAATTAAACAATGGACAGTAGGTATAAACAAATTTACAAAAATTGCCCAGTTTATATTAAAAGTTGAACTAACACCACATATTAGAAAGCACTCACTTTGAATAAGTCCGTAACTCCTCAAATATCTCCACCTCCAGGTCATCCTGTTCGGCCTCCCGCGTCATGGTCTTGTAGATCTTCAGAGCCACCAGTGCTTTAGCCATGGCCTCCTCTCCATGCTGCCACATACACATGGCCATCTTCTGCCTCTTCATCAGCACAGCCCAGACCAGCAGCTCATTGAATGGGTACTTGAACACATCCTGGAAGTCTATCAGATTGCCGGGCATGGGGACTGTGGCTAAAGCATTGCTGATGTTGTGGCCCTGTTGTGAATGAAATGTGGTATTTATAATGATGTCACTGACAAAGTATGTGGATTCCTAACATTAAGATTTATGAAAATAAGTGTGACATATTGATACTCTGAAACACTTAAGTCATTCACTTGAATGAACAGGCTGGTGTGTGTATAACAAATATAATAGCACAGCATTATAGTTCATATCATATCTGCTCATTTCTAGATGGAAACCTGGTTGAAGCTTTTCTGAACCAATCAAATGACAAGTAGTAAAAACAATACAGTTATGTGCAAAGTGCTCTTGTGCAAGGGTAAAACTTAGCTTTTGATCAAATATTGGTAATAAAACAACCTGCACATTTGTGAGCCACGTACTGCAGCCTTATAGGTAAAGGCTATAAGCAAATGTATCATTTTTTAAAAATCAGTTACAGTTTTAGTTTGATAAAAATTTTGAAGGCTACACACCTGAAAGATCTGACTAGGCGACTGGCAAGGGTGACAAACAAGAAAAGAGAAGCAAAACACAATATTATAGAAAACTGTATTTCAGCACACAGTGAGAGATGTAGACTGCACAACATATACATATTTTATAAAAATATATGAAAGTGCACATGTCTATTTGCATACATAAAAGTGGTTCTGCTTTCCTGCTTTAAGTGTGTGTGTGTGTGTGTGCATGCGCAAACATGCACACGCACGGGTATGTGCAATCTACAACTCTAAAACATGACAACAATATATAACTGAAATGCAAAATTTTAAGTGACTATCAAAAACATAGCCTTTAGCCATCAAACTAACATTTTACATTCAAAGTGCATTTGGTGCATTTTAACAGTAGCATTAACTTTGGCAGTGCGAAAGGGGGAAAAACTGTTTCTAAAAATGAAGAGTACAACATTTACAGTGCAAAGTGCACAGAGGTTACAACGTTGCATTGCCACTACCTTCTTCATCATGGCATTGTAAGTAGTTCTGAACTTCTTCCTGCAGTATGAGGCTCGGTACGCCCCTCCCATCAGGTAGTCTATTACCTGGCCAACTTCCAGGAGTGTGTAGTGGGCATGCTCGGGGTGTTTCTGAAAAGTTGATTTTGTTCCTCTGTTAAATCTACCTTCAGTAATGATGTACTGAGAATTGCAAGCAAGGAAAAAATATAAGTTGTACTTTGATATCAATAAAATTTCATCTCAAACACGTAACCATTTATCTTGAAATTCAGTCACAATATGAATCTATATTTTATTTATTATTCTGAGTCAACAAATCAATACATTACAAAGATCATAGCTTTGTCACAAATTTGCACCATTTTCAAAGAATCTTCATAATCTGCTGGAGGAAATATTAAGCAAAACCTTAAAAGCATTTGAGTATTGATTTAATGTGAGTATTTACCTTTTTTAAGACATTAAAAGTCCTAAATGGAACAGAAGTTGGTGTGGCTTGCTTCTGGAAAGGAAACAGAAGGAAATAAAATAGCTTTTCTTGGCAGCAAGAATTCCAGACATTTTCCTTATTCCGATATTAAGGGTCATTCATTTTTATAATCGTTTTCACAAGTCTGGGGGAAGGGGGGTTAATGCCCTATATGCACTTTTGAAAAAATAATACAAACTATGATCTTCACCCCCAGGAATGTGCTGGCAAAGGTCATTGTATTTAGCTTTAATTTATACCTTGTACTCTCTGAAAGGGGATGGGGGTCTACTTTTTGTGGACTTGGGAAAACGATGATAAAAATGGATGGCCCCTAGTGCCATTTTCCCAACAAATGTTGATTAATCAGCATATTATCTTCCCCATGTTTTACTTCACATTCACAATAACGAAACCTGAAATCTATAAGGAATATAAATGAACTGATAATTTTTATAAATTTCTGTGTTAAAAGAAAAAAAAAAAGAAAAAAGAAAGAAAAATTACCCTTGTGCTGGAACTTAAATGCTAAAAGTTTAAACTCACAATATTATAAAGTTCCTCCAGCCTGGGTATTGTAAGAAACTTCTGCATACTGACTCCATTCTGGAGCAACAACTTTACAAAGTCTACTCTATCATTGGTCAGGGCATCCATCATGGCATGTTCAAGTGCTCCTTCCTAAAAAGGAAATTTTGAGAATGGTTAAAGTCCTCTTGATGCTGAAGTTTAAGCATTTTTTATCTTGAGGACCTTGTATGACATTTAATTGAGTCAAGTCAACTTTCAGTTCCTACCATAAATATAAAAATGGAGATAATGGAGATTATACATGTACTTATAAAAGTAGACCATTTTCAAAATGAAACTGGTAAAAAATTGGAATTAAATAGAAAAATACAGCTTAGACATTATTCACTGAAATATTCTCTGAACAAAAGCAGTGAAAAGCTTGGAATTAAATTGAAAGATAAAGCTGAGACATTATTCACTGAAATATTCTCTACAAAAGCCTTGTCCATTCTCAGTGAACTTACAACCATCACATTGTCATGTGGTCAGATCTCTAACATTAGACTAAATTATATGCCTTATGGTGGCCACTATCAAGTCCAATTGACCAATTACAATGAGAATCCTTTATAGCAGCATTAAATACTGTAAAAAGTATTTGTTGAGGTGGGTGTTCCTTCACATTTAAGCCTAAATATTCTGTTTTTCTTCCATGATTTATTAAGCAACATCCTGAAATAAATCTCTCAAATCAATGTGCTCCTTAACAGACAAGGATAATATTCCGAGTATGATAGAGTCATGCCATTTAAGATGACTGATCACCAGGCAACAAGGGTTTCAGAAGACACTGGATAGTCACCTCTCTACTATCTCCTTATCTCTGTGGTTTCCAGTGTCTGTAACCCAGAGTGTCACCAAGTGACAGCTAAACCAAAACACAACGGCTAACAAAGCATGACATTTTCACAGTGTATATATTTAGAGAATTTCTCATTGAACAACATACATACACGTACCAGACTAATGAAGCAATTTAACTTCAAGGTAAAACATGTAGAAAAACAGTGCACACTTTGTAGACTCTGTATTGTGTTGAGCCACACATTGAGGATCAAGTTTAAACAGCATGTAAACCCTGTGGGAGTGAGGATTCATCTTGGATTACCATGCATCAAACCCTCAATAACAACAACAACATCACAGCCTTTAGCAATTCTAATCTACCAAGAGAGATCTGCCAAAGACATTTAAATGCCAAAATCGTGTTCATATCAAGACTAACTTGGACCAGAAATTGATGCAGCCAACAACCAAATGTTTTAAACTGTGTTCACTTCAAGAATAACTTTAACGACTAGAATGACCAGAAAGTACGTTATTGAGGAGGAGAGAGAGAGAGAGAGAGAGAGAGAGAGATGCACTTTTTCAGAAAAAAGGACCCCTTTGAAATTGCTGGCTATACATGCGCCTGCCACTTACCGGCCATTCCCGTCCATACACAAAGATGTGTTTTTTGGCAATGTCCACCCTGTTCCAGGTTAGTGCTAAACTCAGTTGGTCTGGGGCACTGGCATTCTGACCTGAGACAAGGAGACATTATAGTCCATATACAGCTTTTAATTAATTTAGATCATTACATCAGGGATGTATAGGGATCCAACCCTTCATACACATACAATGTATTCAAAGTTAATAATACAAATAGCTTTTGTTTCAATGGTGCTGTCATCAATATATACAGAAATTGTATTAAATGAAAAGGTGTGGCAATTTATTTCTCTTTTTCTCTTAATTCATCAGAAAAACTGCAACTCATCATAATAACTAATTGTCTTTGAATGTAATTTATCTAAAAAACAAAGCATGGGGTTCTATTTTGCGATTACTTTGCAAACAGTAAAAGCACAGACAACTGCGAAATACCACTACTATCTCACAACAAAATTCATGGTTTCACTTAAACATCATTGGTTTTAGCCACATACCTCTCTGTATAAGATCGCTTTAAGGGATAACTATTCCCAATCATTAACCATTCATCAAGTCTTCCCAGACATGTAAAGAGTACTTGAACAGCTAGATGGTTTCTTGTATGTCTGGTTTCAGAGACGGGTTTCTTACCTTTCAGCAGTGCAGTCAATATGGCCAGATCGATGTCTGTATTTTCTCCTTCTCCCATTCTGAATACTGTGATCTATAAACACACAGAGCAAAAAAAATTATTAAACAAATACAAATACATAACAGGAAATTTTGCAGACAAAATAATAAAACATGTATGAATATTATATCTTCAATACTCCAAACCCTAATGGCAAAATATTCTGCAACTGTAAAAAATAAATACTTCTTTCTCATAGATATTTAAAGTTGATAGCAGTGTATAAAAGATTAAGGTGAACAAGAAGTATTTGAAAAATGAAAAAAGGGAAAATTCTTACAGTAACTCTCTAAGAAGCTTTTTCAATTCAAGCCACACAGAAGAAAAGATGTAAGTTATATTGAGGGGAGAAAGCAGTTGCATAGAGAAATATACTGTGGAAAAAGTCCATTAAATATATCTCACCAATTCTTTCTTATTCACTGCTAACATTAATTCCATGTAAAGTTTCTCAGATTCCTCCTTGTTGTATTGGAAAGTTTTCTCTATTGTAAGAATAAGCTGGCTCTTCACAGCTTCAGGCATAGTACTAAAATAGTAAGTATCTATTGAAAAATCTCTTCTTCCTAAAGATGAACTACCAAAAGTGACTTTTCTTACCTTAATCTAGTAAGTTAGTTAGTCTTCTGATGTAAACCAAATAATAAATAAATCTAATTGCATCAAAACTGAAATAACAAAATCATGGTGCCTTATTTTTACCATAATGACCTAAAGCATGCAATTCCACAAAGCTGTACCAAATCAGAAGACTAAGCTTAGAAGAATAAGGATAGAGAATCAGCATGTCTTGTCAAATAAAATGGTAAGACCTAGCTTGCTCATAAGCCTAGACAGTTAAGGAGATTAGGATATTGACAAAGTTTTAAAGAATTTTCAACACATAGTACCACATGATGTGAAAAAAATTGACCCAAAGCTCACCCATCCTCATTTGCATATTTATGAGTGAATGCCAGGATGTCTGCTGCCCTCCCACTCCCGTCACATATGACCACAGGGATTGGAGGGTCATCTGTCACACAGTCCAGTACTGTCCGAATAGTGTTTGTACCTCCTTCAAGAATCAGAGAAACCAGAGGAACCCCATGGCCCTTCACTATGCCACCAGCTGGAAAAACAGTATTTGTAGCATATATTTCTTTTCCTCCTTTACTTATCTATTTATTTGCTTATCTATTTATTTTTTTGCAAGCTTGATCCAGTTGGGCAATAATCATATAAGCAAAAATGAGTATTAACAAGGAAAAATGAACAAAGTTCATAAAACAGGGAAATTAAGCATAAATGAGGGCTAACTGGCTTATAAGAACTAGCAGCACTTCATAATTAAAACCGTTACAGTCATACAAAGAGCATTAGCTTTTTGTATTACAAAAAATTACTTCTGGGACTTTTTCTGGAACTTGCAATAATTTCCAAATTCTCATGGAGACTGAGATTGAAGAATTGCATTTGTCAGGACATAAGGAGCAATTAAAAGGGTAGGTTAAAAGATCATAATTTTCTGAGCAATTTTGGATAAAGTACGCCTTGCTGATAAAGAGAAAACTGCGGAAATTTCCAGGAAAATTAATTTCTTTTGCTACATAAAGAAAGGTCTAATGTGCTTTGAATGCCTATAAACTTGGCATGTGCTGATACCCATACTAAACAGGCTTCAAACAAAAGAGAACCTGTTAGATATTAGTTTGAAACTGGGAAAATGTCACTGACTGTTAGAGCTTATTAGTATTATATTCATTTTTCATTTCCTATCCCAAAGTAATTTCACCAAGCCAGGTCTATAGTATAATATCAAACACAAAGCAGGAGTAAATGAATTTATTGCCAATCTATTTATGAATGAATGAATGAATGGCAAGAACAGATCATCAGTGCCAACCATGACTTGTGATGAATATTAAAATAGTCATGAATGTAAGTGCTTTAGGGTCAATAACCATCTCCCTTGTGTCACGCAAAAAACATCTTTTTATCTGCAAAGATTGATCTGTTAAGAATTGACATCAAAACATATTAATTCATAAATCTTGATAATTCTTAGTATTTTTTCATATACATAAAATAATATGAATACTATGCATCCCTGTGTGAGTGCATGCATGTGTACATGCATTCACGTGTGTGTGTGTGTGTGTGTGTGTGTGTGTGTGTGTGTGTGTGTGTGTGTGTGTGTGTGTGTACATACATCAATGTCTGCGACATCAACACTACGTACCACTAGTGATCTTCTGCAGTGAGATGACTTTCTCAAGTTTCTTCCTCAGCTGTATTTCTGCTCCATACTTCCCGACTGTCCCATTATCCACCAGAAAGAAATACGAATGATACTGGTTCAGCACAGCATAGTGGCTGTGTGATGGAGCTATAGCGTGATATGGACGGACAACCTGAAGAATGAATGTTGACCATCTGTTATCCACAGCCATGAAAATACACCAAAAACTGTGCACCAATATAAGGAACAGGTAGAGCAATTAACCGAGTACATTTTCTCTATAAAAAGATGGATCTACATGAGAATAATGCAGCAGTGGGAGCAGCATGCACATTCCTTTTACAATGATGGATTGTAGACCTAATATATTATTGAAATGTATATTGGCTCTCATATATATATATATATATATATATATATATATATATATATATATTGTTGGAAATGCCAATAAATACCACCAATAATGCACCAATAAATAAAAAGTGCACTAAAATGTTAATGGCAAAATGAATATTCATTATCATAACAATTACAAAATCAAAGTAAATTATGAAAAAATGCCTGATTCATTCACTACCCCCTTAATTCAGTCATTGATATAAATTACCATGATCAAATTTGTTCATTCTTGGTTGTAAAATGAGCATTTCAAGACAAACAGATGGATAGAGAGATAATTATGACACATGCTTAAAACATTTATTGTTACAAAGCATGGTATCAGCAACTAACAAACAATTATTCAACCAATGTACTACTTTGAATTATGTTCATGTATAACAAAATAAGAACAAACACTTTATCTGTGCTTTGATTTAAATTGTTTAAATTCCAGAACATTATTGCCACTTGAAAACATACATAGGAACAGTAAATACATTGTATAGAAATGCTTTTTAGCTGTAGATTTTTAATTCATAAGACTGAAATTAGGAACATGCTGGTTTTGTAATATTAATGTCACCTCAACTGGCTTCAAGAAACACAAACACATATCTTGAATAAATTATTTGAATGCCTTTCACATCCTTCTGGTGTGATATCCCTTCAAGAAGGTAGTGGATAATGAGTCTGACGCAATTAACAGGTTAACATCATTAGCACATCTCTTTATCACTCTACAGTAATCAGGGATATGACTTTTAAGTTCCTTAAAAGTCGGAAATCTGCTAATAGTCTGAAAAATCTTATTACTGCTGTAAGTGCCAACACCAACCAAAAAGACAATAGAGGGGGAAAAATCTCATCCCTGTATTATTATCACATTGGCATGACAACTTCTAACTAACGTAGGAGTGTTCATTCTTTGCCACAGTTCCACAAGTAATGTTAATTATTTCTCATAAATATCACTGGTGCACACTTCTGAATGCTTGTTATCTGGACTAAGCCCAGGGTTCACTGATGCAAAAGGCACAATAAGGACTAATTGTCTGTAAAACACTCTTCACCTTACATTAACCTTCAACAAGGAGTGCTAATCCTTTCCTGGAAATTTCAACAATTTTTGCCTCAGGTAGCGTCCTTTTGCTATACTATGCAACAACCTCACAGATTAGCGTCAGGAGCTGGTGCTGGAGATCAATCAATACAAATCAGTTTTATCAAAAACAAGGTGCCACAGCAACAAAATTTGCATGGGTACCTATTATTATTATTATTTTTTTTTTTTGTTATCTATCTCTGCCTATGTACTGAAGAGCATGTGTAGGAGATATGGACTCTGAATGCACTTCATCTGTGAGGAAAATGGAAAATATATGCAAAAACTTAAATTCTCCATTGGGTTCTATAGTAATTGAATCCAAAGTTCAAATCACTATAGCAACAAAACTTACATGGGTACCTATCAATTTGTTAATCTTAAAATGGATGCAACTATGTCAACTGTGCATGTAAAAAATTTAAGAAAAATTTATCAGATGGAAAAATCATAAGCATTACCTTCATCACCAATTCAATCTAAAACCTGTGACAAAAATGTGTTGAGACTGATACAAAAAATGTATATTTTTATGGTAAATATTAGAAATTGTGAGTTCAAAAACAGGTTTACAGATCATAACTTTCTTTCAGTACTTGTTGATAAAGGGAAATTTTGCTGAATTTAGCCTCTTCTATTTGGTTACAACCATGCAACCATGCATTTCGGTATGCTTTTTAAGTTTTTAAAAAATATTACTAAAAATGACAAACACAGAATGCCACACTGAATTTTCAATCTTTTTTCTGATTTAATGAACATATAACTGAATAACCTGCATTAGCAATCAAACAAACAAAATATATCCATTTATAGAACCTTATGATTCTATGAATAGATAAAATTTTGTTGTAACATTTTTTTTTTTTAGATAATATGATGGTAGTTGCAGTAAGATTTTTGTATTTGTAAGTGAAAAAAATTTGTGTATTTGCTCTGTGATATTTGATATCATATACCATGTGCTATCAAAATTGAAATTGAATTTTTTACATTGTACTTATTATTATTATTATTATTATAACAACAATAATAAGTATATTGGGAATGTTTACTGATATTCCCTATTAGTGAAAGATTGTACTTAAAAACTTTTCAACAAATTAAATAAATATGTTTAAATGACTAACAGTAACATGGCCTTAGTTTTTCTTCAATAAAAAACTCGCAGCCAATTAAAATAAAAAAGAAAAGAAAGAAAGGTCCACTTTTCAGAATAAGTACCCTCCTTTGAAACTGCTGGCTACGTGCCTGTTAGCACATACAATTTCAACACTCAGGCAAATAACAGACTTACATCTTTTCCTATCAACTCTTGTCGGTTGTGGACGATTCCCCAGGGTGCTATACCAATAGTTACAATGTTATTCCTTGTTTTTAATGACTGTTCTCCTATTCCTTCTCCAACATGTCTCGTTACACCTGAAAGTAAAGTTTTGAGATTAGTGTAGAGAATATATACAGCAAACAATAATTTTCAAAAATAATAAACCACATCAATACTGAGATTTTAAGCAATGGATGATAACAAAAAGGCAAACTCTGTGACAATGATGAATGAAGATTTGTGTCTAATTTTGGTTGATAGGGTTTTCAAAATACCTTTAAAACTCACCAGTGCTGGTTCTACATTTACCTGTGACAAGGAGTGATGCCATAAAAACAAACAGTGATTTTGATAATAACCAATTAATTTTTTCTTTAATTATCTTTGGTTGGTTAAGGTTTTAGAACTCTCTATCAGAAACCCACCAGTATTGGTTCCCCCTGTGACAATCCAAGCACCTGTGGTATTGGCCGCCTTGAGAAGACCTTTTCTGAATACCCTCTTCAGCTTGGGCTGGAGGTCAAAGTTCACTATGCCCCCATGGACTGAGATGAGGAGCTTTGGGAGCTCCAGACCCCAGTGCTTGGTGAGGAGGTGGAGTAAAACCTCTGGCTGGGTTTCATGGGACATTCGTACATACTGCAAAAATGAACAAGTAAATCTTGTTATTTCCTTGCTAATCTTCTTGTATCTTTTCATACATCAGCTACATAGTTTTTAAAGGAGTGTAAAGTCATCTCCAGTATCATGAGCACATATTTGAACATTTTTTAATATTTTAACAATTTCAACAATATGAAAAAATCAACAACCAGAAACTTTTTTGCCTAATTTTTCAGTTTCTTAAGAAAAATATGTCAAGGTCAATATTATGTTGAAGGTCATTCTGAAGGTCAATGTAAAGGTCACGTCACCTGGGCTTTGGTAGGATGTGGCCCGCCTTGGAATTCCAAGGTGCCAAATGCATCTGTGGGTAACAACTGTGTGTGTTTCCAAGGGTCCCAACGCACAGATGAATCTGGCAGTGGCAGAGAGATATCTGAGGTGACGGTGTGATTTTTCTTGGCACGCCCACATCCACATCTAGAATAAAAGAAATTTGCAGCAAGTCTTGTCATTCAAGGGTTACTGCAAAAACATCATTTCTTGTATACACTGTATGATTCTTCTTTTTATGTATGGAAGAAGTTTGTCTAGCCTTTCAAGAATATTTGCTGAACCACCATATGCTTTACATACGGCTCATCCATGCATTTAAGTTGGCATTTATGTTATGACTTTTCTGTAACTTTAAATAACAAAATATCATTCAGAAACATCCCATTACATTTGGCATTTATGTTTTATTATTATTTTCTTTTATTAAGTAAGTACAGCATATACAATTATGTAGGAGATTCCGACAGTTGATGTCTTAACCTTTTTTTATATACACTGTAAATTCCACACAGTTAATGGCACATGCTTTCAGTACCTCAAGTCAGCACTTTAAGTAAAATGAGGTTCACTGATGGGAAGCCTAAGCATGATAAAATCTACTGGACAGGCTTAATAACATATTATTGATACACAAAGTGCAGCTCTACAAATCTACATGACTGTATCACTTCACCCAGGCCCGTAGAAAGGGGGGGTTCGGGGGGTTCGAAAGAACCACCCCTTTTGTCAGGAAAAGGTCCATTTTGGGTAAAATTTTATCTAGATACAAATAAGTGTCATTGTAAAAGGTCCACTTTTTCAGAAAAAGAACCCCCCTTTTGAATTTGCTGACTACGGGCCTGTCACCTATTGCTGATATTGTGAGGACAAAAAGTAAATTAAGGTTACTGTGATCGTCAAAATGGCAGAGACTGTAAGTCTAGAAAATTACCCTCTAGCCAGAATATTGTAGGCCTAGATTACACCATGACAGTGTTCTCGACTTGCAAATGTATTTCATATACATCATGTACACTTTACTTATTGATCTTTCCACGATGGTGATTTAATTATGTTATAATTGATAAGGTCTGCTACATGCTGCAGAACATCAGACACACATGTACACACTATAACACGAGGAGTGGAAAAATAGTTTAAAAATCTGTAAGTTATATGGCAATCATTTACAGAAAACCATGTATACCAAAAAATGACAAAAAACATTTTAATGATATGCACATAAATTTATTGAGAGGGTATAAAGAATTTTAATATTTTGTACCGGAAATTAGCTGGGTGATGACATCATTTCTGAAAACTCTGTGTAAAAATTCTCAAAAAAGTTTTGAAGATATTTAAAGGCAGTTCACATGATTTTGAAAAAAGGAGAATTGGCAATATTGACATCTTACAATATATATAAACTGATAGAAAGATATGTCAAGGGCTTTTTGTATTAGTGTATGAGTACTAAAACTCATAGGAACTTAATTATTGAAAGCTGTAGAAGCAGATTGCATCCACTGATGAAAACATTGGCAATCCCTCTACAGTATATTCCCCTGTCTTTTCCTAGGGGGAGTATAAATACTGCAGATATGGCAGCAGAAGTATAATTAATATTTGGTCTTTCCCGATTTGGTTCCAAACTGCCATTAATTCCCATTCATATCTGCTATCTGGTATCAGCAGATATTCCTTATCAAACAGGAAATGTGTTAAGGGAAAAGCTGAAAGTGAAAATTAAATTATTCCATGTCTGTTATTCCTACCACACACAAAAATCAATGTCTGATAAAGTGAATAGATCAATACAGCAGACTTGGTGAAGTGGGGTGAAAGGTCATATGGTGCCCTCAGCAAGTTAATTGGGATGATTAGAAAATGTGCAATAACTGAATATGCCAACACATACAGACTTAGAGAAACAACCACTTATGAATGCCCCAGGGCACTTGCACAATGGGTAAAAAACTTAAATGTTCATTTTTCCCAAAACACTGCAACTTAATACCTTGTGATCTTATTTAATGGTTCAATCCCAATTTGAAGGATACTTAGAATACTCAGTATAACAATAAGCATGATAAATATAAAAAAAAAAAACAAAAAAAAAAAAAAAAAAAAACAATTAGACAACCAATATTTAAATTTTATCCTAAATTGAAATTCATCAGAATTTTTTAATGTTCTACAATGTACATATTCATGCAGTTTTGGAATGTCTAGCTATACAGCAGAACTGTCACCATGGGTACTTTATATAAGGATCAAATCAATTTTAAAAGTATATATATATAATATGAAGTATGAGGGGGTGGAAGAAACTTAAGACTGGCTGAATCCTTTAATTGACAGGTGAGTGAAATACTTTATTTGCCAAAGTTAGTTGGTCCATCTCTCAATATTATTATCACTTTTTTCAAGAATTATTATATTTTTAGTATTCTGAACAATTTCAAGAAATTAAGAAATAAGGTATGGGGGTGAATTGAAATGTGGTTGAAAGACTTTATTTGCCACAGTTTTCTTAATATTCTGTGCTATTCACAGAAAGGTAAATCGTATGGGTGTAAGAAGCTAAAGACTTTACAGACAGGTGGGTGAACCATTGTATCTACTAGACATCACTGCCACTGGTCTCAGAATCTGTCCCCAAAGGCAGAATCAGAGAAAAAAAATGTGAATATCAGCTTAGGAAACAGTTGGCATATGGCTTTACAAGACTCTGGGTCAAAATACAACTTGAAGATCTTGACTACAAAATATGTTATACAGTATGCATGATCTAAGATTTAGGACAAATTGGATTTATTTTTCTCATGATACCTGCAGTTGCAGTTATTTTCTCACTGAAAGCGAGTCCTAATATAAATATATCATTGTTAAGGAAATAGAACTTGCTTCTTTTCAGTTATCAAAAATATTTATCTAGAACAGACTTAATGTCAAAATAAGGATTTAAAGGCATTGTGCCAATGCATTCTTATGCAGTTGCCATGGCTTTACATTATACAAAGTGAGAGAAAAACACGTTGGGTTTGATGTTTTCCATGCAGAACTAAATGGTGCTAAATCTTTGAAATAAAAGGAAATATCAAATGGCTGACAGGATATGCAATTGCATGGACAGATTTAACTCAATACATCAATCCAAAATGTACCTGTGAACTACCCAGGCTCAATCTTATAAATAACCTGGCAGTATTGCTGGTAAATGTACAGACAGAATCAAGAAAGATGAGAGGACAGAGAAGTATATCATGACCACAGCAATACACTAATTTTCTTCCAAGATTTATACTGAAGTCATCAAACTGCACAAAGAAAAGATTACAGTTTCAAAAGTAATAAGTTTAAAGGAGCATAACAATAAGTGAGGCGTGTTATTGAAAAATAAACACCACTTTCATCATTTTAGATTTCTGAAGTGAGTTATCTTAATATCAAATGCCAAAAGAAGACTTTCTGTCAATACTAAAAAAAAAAAAAGGAAAAAAAAACTGTCTGATGATCATGGATACACGTGGTGACATTTCAAATCTCACATAATTTGTAGTCTCTGCTAAATTTTCAAGGAGTCTTAATTTAACCTATTCTCAAAATGATAAAAAACATTATGGCATTAGCACAATGGTTTTCCAAAGTTTTCCGCCTATATTAGTGCTCAGTCCCATGCCTGCAATCCATGAACATAGAAATTATTTGCTCACTTTGAAGTTTTTCTCTTGGTTTGGGGTACCACACCACTTTGACAACTTTGGCCAACTACTGCATAAGTGAATCTCCATTAGTTTTAGAGATAAAATCAGACCATTAGAAAAAGAACAATTCCCTGTAAAAAAAACTTGGTCAAAGCCTGAATTAGGGGTGACATTTTGGATTTGACATATGTTAATTAAATTTCCATTCGACTTCATTAGTAACAATGTGATCAGCTCTTACTTTAATCAAGTAAATGTTGGCATGCATGATCCCCCCCCAAAAAAATACCTGTTTATATTCTCAGTGGCATAGGAAACTAGTACCTGGCTCTATCCAGACAACTGCTTGAATATGTCAGGGATGAATTCACATTTAGACAATACCATCTGAATTTTTAAAATAAGTTTGGACAGGCATTTTATATCAGAGTAATAAAAGCTTCCTGGCAATAAGGTCTCCAAAATGGAAATGGTTTGTTCTGAGAAAACTCCCTAGAGTACCTGCTATATTATTAATTGCATATATTAAAATAAATTATAATATGATGAAAATGCAAACCCACTGACTCTATGTTGGCTGCCTTGCTTCATTATTTCCACACTTAGTATAGCTCATAACATGCACTTTGTTGCAATGCTATTCAGCTCATATAAAGAGTGTATGATACTCAACATTGGTGTTCTGAGATTTAGAATAAAGAAAAAAATATTATAGGTAAGAAATTGTAGGTTTCAAAAGTATTCCCCACCTGAAATATTATATTTGCCTTTTCCTAGTTTTCCTAGTTTTTATGCTGTTTTTTACCCCTGCCAAGGAGGTTATGTTTTTGGTTCCGTTAGTTTGTCTGTCTGTCTGTTAGCAACATTACAGAAAAAGTTATGGACCAATTTTGATGAAATTTTCTGGAACTGTCAGAAGTAGGCCGAGGAACAGATTATTAGTTTTTGGTGGTGATCAGGATCATTAATTAATCAATAATTAATAATCAAAAATCAAAAATCAAAAAACTAAATCATTATAGAATGAAAATTTAGTGGTGAAACTGCACTGGGTGGAGACTTTGCTGCCTTGGCGGAGGTCTGCGCTCTCAGAGTGCTTTTCTAGTTGATAAGGCAATGATTTCATGGCAAGGCACATATTTTTTCCATTGATAATGTTCACAAGAACCAACCTTCACCATTATCATGAAAAATTGCAATGACATTTTTAAGTTGTTTGGGTTACATAAATGTCCTTCTTTTACAAGATCTTTTATTTTGAGTTATTCTATGATGCAAAAGGAAGAAACATGAAAAACAAATGAAGCCAATTCCTTTTCAGGGGGAAATCTCACAGTATCTCCATATCACTTTGAAACAAACAAGGCTTCTAACCTATATTTGTCTCATTGCCTTACCATGTGATAAGGCTGTGTTTGATGCAAATTAAAAAGAACTACTTCAACTTATGTACACGTATTCCAATTTACCACAAACAGTGGGTGATCAGTCAATTAACCTATCAGATTGATCAATTTTATTCCTTAAGTCTCTTGTGATTCCATACAAAATCCACCAACACAGAATGTCAAGAAGTCTGCATCATGTGAAAGGAATAAAATTGCAGAATTGGATATGCTAGTGAGTTGATGCAACATGGGATTCAACCATTGAATCAGTACAAACTGGTAACTCAATCTGACCATCTTAATGGCTTACCTGTTGGGATCTTTTTGACTTCTGACAAAGCAAATGCATTCCCTCTTGAAAAACACCTTCTCAATCCACGACTTCTGAGCCTAGAAAACAAGAAAGTATAGAGCATAAAAAACATGATAGGAATATTTCAGAAAAACATTGATGGACTGGTTATATTGTCAAACTGAACACTGGCCTTCATTCAGCAGTTGATATGTTGACGATAAAAAAAAATATACAAAAACATATTGTAATTCAGTTCAAAGATTCATCAATGTTCTTTATAAAATGTGAAAGACCCAGAAAGGACTATTTTTCATTTTTTAAATCATTAAGTTAACTAAATGTACACAGCAATGCAGCTGCACAAGAGTTAAAAAAAAAAAAAAAAAAAACTCATGACATATTTTCACGATTAAAAGAATCAATCATTTCCAGCATGATACATCACACCATTGCCTATCATTCAGCAGCCAGAACTCTGAAACAATTTATCTAAGCTTTAATTTCAACACCACAATGCAAGACTAAATGAAGCAATAAAAGGAGAAGAATCATGCCCTCAATATTCAATTAGGGTGCCAAAACAACACCACAGCAACACTTCAACTTGAATTTAGCATGAACATGAATGCTTTATTTAACACACATACATGAACACCCTAATACAGAGCAGCCTAGACATATCTAGCTATTCCACTATATTCATAATCTACACCTACTTTAAATTTTACATATGCTCCTTTTTCTCCCTTATTTTAAATCTTCACAAATTTTGTGTTCACATTTTGCCATCTGATAAGACAGACGCTTCATTCACTAGAATCATAAGTACCCTCAGCACTCAAACTGGTGGTACTATAAGGGCGATGACACCTGTATGTTGTTTAGGTTACATTAACATCTGACTTAAACACTATCTTTTATTGCGAGTTACTTATGAGAGCCATGGGAAACAAATTCAGGATTAATTATGTCACTTAAGGCTTAAATTTAATTTAAAGTTATTATTGAAAAGGGGAGAAATAAAAGAAAAGATCACTCACTGTGATTGGGTAGTATTATAAAAAAATGACCAGAGACAAAAATGTCCCACTGGTGGCTCACAACACCATCCAAGGAAATTCTATCACCTATTACTTCCATATCTAATATCAGGTCCCCTTAATTAACACTTCCATACTTGTTAAATCACTGACTCANGCACGGCGCCGGCGACGGCGACGGCGACATGATCGGCGACGACAGACGCAGGTGATGGCAATATGTACAGACACATCTGTGTCTGTACATAAAAACATTGATGGACTGGGTATACTGTCAAACTGAACACTGGCCTTCATTCAGCAGTTGATATGTTGAAGATAAAAAACATATATACAAAAACATATTGTAATTCAGTTCAAAGATTCATCAATGTTCTTTATAAAAAGTGAAAGACCCAGAAAGGACTATTTTTCATTTTTTGAATCATTAAGTTAACTAAATGTACACAGCAATGCAGCTGCACAAGAGTTAAAAAAAAAAAAAAAAACTCATGACATATTTTCACGATTAAAAGAATCAATCATTTCCAGCATAATACATCACACCATTGCCTATCATTCAGCAGCCAGAACTCTGAAACAATTCATCTAAGCTTTAATTTCAACACCACAATGCAAGACTAAATGAAGCAATAAAAGGAGAAGAATCATGCCCTCAATATTCAATTAGGGTGCCAAAACAACACCATAGCAACACTTCAACTTGAATTTAGCATGAACATGAATGCTTTATTTAACACACATACACCCTAATACAGAGCAGCCTAGACATATCTAGCTATTCCACTATATTCATAATCTACACCTACTTTAAATTTTACATATGCTCCTTTTTCTCCTTTATTTGAAATCTTCAAAAATTTTGTGTTCACATTTTGCCATCTGATAAGACAGACGCTTCATTCACTAGAATCATAAGTACCCTCAGCACTCAAACTGGTGGTACTATAAGGGCGATGACACCTGTATGTTGTTTAGGTTACATTAACATTTGACTTAAACACTATCTTTTATTGCGAGTTACTTATGAGAGCCATGGGAAACAAATTCAGGATTAATTATGTCACTTAAGGCGTAAATTTAATTTAAAGTTATTATTGAAGAGGGGAGAAATAAAAGAAAAGATCACTCACTGTGATTGGGTAGTATTATAAAAAAATGACCAGAGACAAAAATGTCCCACTGGTGGCTCACAACACCATCCAAGGAAATTCTATCACCTATTACTTCCATATCTAATATCAGGTCCCCTTAATTAACACTACCATACTTGTTAAATCACTGACTCAATAACAGGACAAAATTTCAATTACCACGCTTTCTGCTACAGACTTGCACTGTGACTTCTTGGACGTTCTTCTGTCACAAACCATGTGGACAGTTTCACTTAGATAAACCGATCTGGAGTCCACAGACCAAGAATCCATTTCACTCAAAGAGAAGTCATCCATTTTCTGCTGCTTCTATTCAGGCAAGAAGGTCATCAGCCAAATGTTACAAGTTCCAAGGGAAAAAAATAACCTCGTTATTTGTACTATGTAAATCTAGAAGAAGAGTCCCTTTTGTTCCATCTTGTTCCACGCAGATGCCTCGATTTAAGTAAATAATCTGCTCACTCGGTTTATAGAGCAAAGAAGCATAAACATAAGGTAAAAATATCTCTACATTTTTCACAATCAGTCATATCCAATGGCACAATTGCAGTCTATCAGCTTCCTATGATTGTTCACCCACTCTTGTAAGTCTGCACTGTAAAAGGATCCGAGCTTGAAGAAATAATGACCTACTCAAAAATTAATTTTCCATGGAGCCTTAATAAAAAAACGAGATGAACACCAACAGTAGATGGCATTTTCTTGCTTTTCACCAAATACCCATCACAACAGAGTTTGTCAATCATCCTCAAGGAACCTTTTATTATTTTGCAGCAGCTTACTGTGGGGAAATGCATTGTGCTGTAAATTCTATCATTTTAGGTACCGACTTCTTTTCACTTTACATTGTCATCTTGACACTATAAAAAGATTTGGACTTCATGAAACCACTGACACAAATAAAGTAATTTTTACTGCAGCTCTAATCACTATCAACAAATTAATCATTGGTTATTAAATAATAATTTTACCAAAGTGTAAACTATTCAATTCACAGTCTGTTGGTGCCTTCAAGTAATCTGCACATTTTCAATTTCTGAACACAAGACAAAAATATTACACAGGGTTTCTCTCCACTATGCATATTTTTCCCATAGCAGACATTAAATCTCAATGCTGAAAGCAACCAATGTACTTTTTAGCAGGTGCCACAGAAATGATACTTTCAAAAATTATTTCTTACAACACAAAATACAAATTTCCAATATTTGTTGTCAACAAGTCAATACAGGCAACAGAAGCATTATTTCATTTTTTTTTTTTTTTTTGTCATGAATTCTCCATTAAACTAATCCATTTATCTGAGTGTGTGGAAACAGTATTATGTATTTTTCACATCGATACTACCTAATGATTGTCCCTAGGGCAAATAAATTTCAGTCCTACAGCATTTCTCTTTCAGAGCACTCACACAACACCCGTTTAACTGGCTTACGGTATACAATGAACAAGGCAGCAAAGCTGTCAAACGTACAGACAAAAAGCAGAAAATAAAAATGCACAAAATAGGCTACTGTCAATTCTGATGCAAAAGTACATTATGCTTAACTGCAAATTCAACATCAAATTTTAATTATGCTCAACAGGTAATACCAATGTATAAAATGTGTAACAAGCATAAGGCTTCAGGCCCATGGGAGTTCAAGTTCACACTTTAAAAATGCCAGAATGAGAAAAATGAAAATTTCACACAAATTGCATAAATTCAATAATATATGATAACCCAATTGAGCTGGCTTTCTAATTTGAACTGCATGCCAATCCTAAAAATCATACTTGTAAGTTAAAAAAAATAATAATTAACACAGTTTTCTTTTCATAATGTTTGTAGTAGCAGTGCAAAAAGATTTTTGTCAATTTTGATGTAACATTACTTTATAAATTACAGAATAATTATCACCAATTCTTGATTATTGACTATAAATAGCATGGACAGAAAATTTGATTACCATTCGGCTTCATGACACATCTGTGTCTGTACATAAAAATGGAAAGAGAAACTTGGAGTGAAGCCATATGTAAGACACTATATGACAAATATCGTCATTCCAGAAAGGCCACCATGGAAAGCAATTTCCCCATATCATCTATTTCCATTATCTGTAATTAAGTGTTTCTATGCAATTTATTATGCTTTATCATGCAAATATCTTCTCATACCTCAAGAAGAAAGAGCAACTTCACCCCTTTGAAGTCATCATTAGACTGATCAGAGAAACACGTAAAATACATTATGAGAAACAAATGATTGGAAGTATATAAAACATATCATCCTTCTTTTTATATTAAATAAATTGAACATATATTTCAAAATTCGTTCCTCTGTTTTCTTCATCATACTGATTATTATTTATTTATTTATTTAGATCTCCAGAAGGTTGACCCCTTTTTTTTTTCAAAAATGTATACAGAGATGGTATATTTAAGGTAACCACGGATACTGCTTTATACTTAAATGATATTTTTTATTTAAAAGAGAGACAATGTGCATTACTTTTATATAGCGGAAACTTCAACAATTTTCCAGTGATCATCATGGTGTATCTTATTCAAATTTATGTACTTGTACTTTATTTCTGTGTATTGTTTAGAATGTACTTATTGTCAATGTGGAATTTTGTATCTCATATGAAGTGCTGTTATCCCTTTAATTGTATTCAAACAAATAATGGTAAGATTTTAAAAACACTTACATAAGACTTAATGTGATCTGAATTTGCTACTTTCTCCTGTTCTGCCTGCACCTTGTGGTTGGTCATGAGCATGGTAAATACTATTGGTCTAGGATTATTTTCACTTTGAGCTGGAAGTGAGCATAGAAATGCCAATAAGTTCTGTTCTTTTTCTATATTTTTATTTTTTAAGGTTTTAAAAGGCCAATTAATTTGAAAGGGAATTTGT